ATCCAGGCAGCCAATAAATATATGAAAAACTGTTCACAATCAGTAGCCATTAAGAGATGCAAATGAAAACAACAATGAGATATCATCTCACACCAGCAATAACAGCAAAGATAAAAAAAAGTAGAAGACAATAAATGCTGGCAAGGATGTGGAGAGACAGAGACCCTCCTACATTGCTGGTGGGATTGCAAAATTGTCCAACCACTCAGGAAAACAATATGGCGTTTCCTCAGAGGGTTAGAAATAGAGATACTTTGTTGTTGTTGATGTTATTGTTAGGCGCCATGGAGTCGGTACTGACTCATGACCTTATGCACAGCAGAATGAAACACTGCCCGATCCTGGGCCAACCTCACTACTGTTGCCACGCTTGAGTCCATCGATGCAGCCACTTGGCCAATCCATCTCGTTGGGGGTCTTCCTCTCTTTCTCTGTTCCTCCACCTTACCAAACATGATATCCTTCTCCAGCGAGAGATACTTTATGATCCAGCAATTCCTCTACTTGGTATTTACTCACAAGAAATACAAGCCATAACATGAGTAGATATATATAGCACACCAATGTTCATAGCAGCACTATTTACAATAGCAAAAAGATGGAGACAGCCTAAGTGGGCATCTATGGAAGAATGAATAAACAAACTTTGGTACATACACACAATGGAATATTATGCTACCTTGAAGAATAACAAGGAAGCTGCAAGCCCCCACATAAAATGGATGAACTTGAGGACATTACGTTGAGTGAAATTAGTCACAAAAGACCATTACTGTAAAAGATTAAGAAAAAGTACCCATACTAAAAGGGGGGGGAAAATTCTTTGCTGGTTACCGAGGCGTATGGGGTGATGTCAGGGGAGGGAGGGAAAGATGGAGCACAGGGTAGGGAATAAAATAAAAAACAAAAAAACTAGACCAGTAAGTATCATCATGATATATGGAGAAAAAAGTGAAGTTATCAAAGACTTCATTTTGCTTTGATCAACAATTAACACTCAAGAAAGTAGCAGTCAAGAAATCAAACAACATACTGCATTAGGCAAATCTGTTTCAAAAGACCCCTTGAAAGTGTTAAAGAGCAATGATGTCACTCTGGAGATTAAGGCATGCCTGACCCAAGCCATGATATTTTGAATTGACTCATATGCTTTTGAAAGCTGGACAATGAATAAGAAACACTGGAAAATAATTGATGCATTTGAATTATGGAATAAAATATTGATGTACTGCCAGAAGAATGAATAAATTTGTTTTGGTAGGATTGTGAAATTTCGTTTCTAGTACTTTGGACATGTTGTCAAGAAGGACCAGTCCCTAGAGAGGGACATCATGTTTAGTAAAGTGGAGGATCAATGAAAAAGAGAATGAGCCCTAAGGAAATGGATTAGCAAAGTGACGATAATAATGATCTCAAGCCTAATTGTGAGGATGGTGCAGGGCAATGCACTGTTTCATTCTGTTATACATAGTGTTGCTGAGTTGGAACTGACATGTAACAACAACATTATGACATCAAGGAACCCTGGTGACAGAGTAAACTAAGCATGGGTTGCTGACAGAAAGTTCAGCAGTTCAAACCCACCAGCTGCTCAATAAGAGAAAGATGAAGATTTGCAACCATAAAGATTTACAGCCTCAGAAACCCAATGGAACAATCATGTTCTGTCCTACAGGGTCACTATGAGTTGCAATTAACTCGAAGACGGGTTTTTTGTTATTATGGCATAAGATGCTCTGGTAGCGTAGTGGTTACAAATCAGGCTGCTAACCTCAGGTTCAGCAGTTCGAAACTACCAGCTGTTCCACGGGAGAAAGATGAGGCTTTCTGCTCCCGTAAAGATTTACAGCCTTGGAAACTCTGTACAGGGTCACTATGATTTGGAACCAACTCCACGGCACATAATAACAACAACAAATTGTGCACTACACTGAGAAATGCTGAGTTAGGAAGACAGGGGAAGAAAGAAAACCAACTCCTTCTAGAACTCTCTTATCTCTCAATCTAGTCTCTTAGCAATTCCCATATGCGATACTGCACTCAATGTTATCTCTAGCTCTGTGACTTGCTCAAAGCAAGGTTGCTCTAAAAATCTAGTGCCATCTAAGCCTAAATGAGCCTAACATCCCCACCACCACCACCACCACTCCAAGTGTGAACTATTTCTAAAACGATTTTTTTTCTTTTCATTTTTATTCTAGTTTTGGGTTCTCCTGGGTACCATGTTCTACTGGAGCAGAATTGAATATTGAGAATAAAGTCTTGCCACTGATCCTCCTTCCCCCCAGGAACTATGGAATTGGTGCTGGAAACAGCTGTGCTTCATAGTAATGTGCATTTCTTACTGGAGTGCCAAGTCAGATGCTAGAGTTCTTTTAGGTCCTTAGGCTCCTGAAATTGTCTCAGATAGTGTTTTCATCTGATCTGGGGTTCTGCAATGTTTTTGTAGACTCTGGGAGAGGGAGAATTTGGAAAGAAGGTGAATAATAACTGTTCCCATGCCTGTTTATTTTTAATTTGGGGGTGTAAAGACATTCAGAAGAACCTATGTTCAAAGGCTTTCATTTATCTCAGTACTGTCTGAGTGAGAGAACCAAAGGAAAGGTTGCTGAAACATACTTTTGCCTTTTGTTGTGCAATGGCTTCCATTCAGGAGATTGCCGTAATACCATTTTCAGATCTCTTTACTTTGGATCCAGGACAATGCCTGATCTTGAGTTAACAATGATTGGAATTTCCTCTCTTACCTTGCAGAATGTGGGATGTGTTCAGTTACCTCAATTTTCCCGTTAATTAAAAGTAAGTGGGCTTTGGGGGAGAGAAAGCAGGGGCCTGTTTAATATTTACTCAGTGTATGTTCGAATGGTGTCAACTTAAAGCACCTTTCAAGCAGAGGTAGAAGCAAGCCAGCTATTAGAGCAGGTGATTTGTGGGGATTTTTGTTTACTGTCAAAATATCTCTCTTTTGAACAATGTTTCCATTAGTGGCCCTGAAGGAAGTTCTTACAACTGAACATTTGTTTGTCTAGTCTTATAAATAAAGAGGGCATTGAAATATTTTCACTGTTGTCTTCATCATTGTCATAATTGGTCATGCATGAGTCTAACAAAATGATGGGAATTAAAATTTAAGAGATGGAAAAACTGTGTACACTGGGTGTGGTTTCCTGCTGTACAGTTTATAAGCGATGCTTCAACTCCTGTTTGCTTTTATTTTTGCTCCTGATACACTTACTCCAGGAGTGATGATGGAGTCTCTGCCCGGCAAATCCTTTTCCTCTTCCACTTTGAAGCAATTAAAGCACTAATGATTCCAACCTCCGACTTGTATGCCCTGTAAAGAGACTGTCTCTGTCACTTGGGCTCTGTTCCCAGCTGATTCCGACACAGGGAGCACTTCTCTTCCCCGCCCCCTAGTTTCCCTGAGTTCAGTTGAGGCTGAGGTAGGCCAGCAATAAGAAGGCACAGAGAGCATGCCTCTCCCATGCACTCGGTGGCAGCAGTGTCACTGAGGTTGATGGCACCCATGTGTAAGTCATGGTGTCTCACTGCCTAGCTCCACCTCCACCAGAGCTCAGAAAGGTTCCGCACGGCTCCGCCCCTCCCAGCCCCGGGGTCTTCCCCTCTCTCGTTAAGCAAGCAAGAGACCTGCCTCTGCCCAATGGCAGAAGCCATGGCCCTACCGCCCACCCGTACCCTGACTGACACTAATCCCAGTGACGCCACAGCCACGGTGGCCCCTCCCCATGCTGCGCTGAGCTGCTGTTGCGAACCCTGAGTCCATTGGTTGTCATTCCCTCCGATAGCGTGGGCAGGGGAGAGGTTAGCAGCCCCCTAGGAATGTCAGTGCTTGGCGATAAAGCTAGCTTCCTCTTAATCTTCTCTGAATTTTCTTTGATAACTGAACTTGATCACTAGTTAATAGAATCCCATACAGAAATGAGAGCAAGAAAGATAAGCTAAGATGTTCTATCTGCAAAAACCTTACCACCTGCCTTCCCTGCTAAAAAGTCACAAGAAAGAGAAAGAACTTGCATTTAATCACTGCTGCCATATCCCCTCCAACCACCTTCCTACCTGGAAGCACATCCTCATCCTTCATTGTTGTTGTTAGGTGCCTTGGAGTGGGTTCTGACACTATGTACAACAGAACCAAACACTGCCTGGTCCTACATCATCCTCACAATTGTTGCTAAGTCTGAATCTTTTGTTGCAGTCACTGCCGTCAGTCCATCTCCCTTGAGGATCTTCTCTTTTGCTGACCTCTGGTAGTGTAGTGGTTACGAATCGGGCTGCAAACCTTAAGGTCAGCAGTTCGAAACTACAGCTGCTCTGCAGGAGAAAGATGAAGCTTTCTGCTCCCGTCAAGATTTACAGCCTCGGAAATCCTGTACGGGGTCGCTATGGGTCTCAACTGACTTGACGGCACTTAATAACAACAACTTTAAACATAAGGAGCTCTGGTGGCGTAGAGGTTACGAATCGGGCTGCTAACCTCAAGGTCGGCAGTTCAAAACTACCAGCTGTTCCGCGGTACAAAGATGAGGCTTTCTGCTCCCGTAAATTTGTAGCCTCGCAAACCCTATACAGGGTCACTGTGAGTCGGAACTGACTCCACAGCATGTAACTGCTGCCACCACACTTTTCAGCTGAGAAAGAACCTAGTCCTGAGGATTCCCCTGCAGAAGAATCCAGCCACTCAGGACCCCTGAGTTTACAGATATTGTTGTTAAGTGCTGTCGAGTTGGTTCTGACTCATAGTGGGTTCAAACTGATTTTGCTGTCCACTGTATTAACCAACAGCACCATGGTCTTTATTTTAATTCAGAGCAATTTCTGTTCTGCCAAATTCCTGCATCTATCCCTTAAACCTTCCCTAGGACCCAGCTTTCCCTCTGTCTTCTGTCTCCAGGAACTAGAAGTAAGTCTCTCTGTGAGTCCAGAACCACATGCCACTGTGAGGGTGAAGCCCAGTCCCAGCCTCCTCAAAACCACCTCCAGTCCCACCAGACCTGGGAAGGGGAGTGGGGAAGAGCTTGGCTATGGGGAGTTGGCGGGCTCCAGGGCTGCAGATACAGGCCCAGACAAAAATATCTTGTGAGCTTTCCCATTTCTCCAACAGTCTTGTCTGGTTATCAGGAGAGCAAAGAACAATTACCACTTAACACTAAGTAGGCTGCGGGCTAATTCTGGGCTAAGTTTTATTTGATTGCGAAATCAGACAGATCTTCACCCTTCAGGCAGCTGCTTCCCTCCCCATGTTGTTACTCAGGCTCCTGGCAGGCTGTTTACACTTCACTTTAGAAAATCCACTGCTCATCCCTAGTGGTATGTTTGCCAGGCCTCTATCACAGTTTTTCTCTCCAACACCAGGTAAAATAAATAAGAACTCCTGTTTTAAGCAGTACATCAGGTCCTGTCTGGCTACACATAAAGAAGAGGAGAAATAAAAATAGTCACCTGAGTTTTTAAATCTCTCTAATTTCATCTCAACCCCTCTCCCCACCAGGCTTGTTTCTCCTCTCTATTTACTGAACAATTTCCTTTCTCTTTCTGTATCTGATAGCTCCCTGCTTCACCTAACCCAAATCCTATCCATGAGACTGAATCAAAAGACTAAATCCATAGGAAGGTTGTTGTAGGCTCATTAGCTTACTTTCATCATGTGTGACATTTTTATTAAAAGACTCTACTGGCCACATCCAATGCTATTGTTGTTAGTTGCTGTTGAGTTGGTTCTAACTCATGGCGACCCTATGCACAACAGAACAAAACACTACCCAGCCCTACTCTGTCCTCACAATTGTTGTTACATTTGAGCCCATTGCTGCTATCACTGTGTCAATATATCTCCTTGGGCGTCTTCTTTTTTTTGCTGACACTTCACTTTACCAAGCATGATGTCATTCTCCAAGGACTGATTCTTCCTGATAATACGTATGAAGTGCTAGCCTCACTTCTAAGGAGCATTTTGATTGTACTTCTTCAGGCAGATTTTTTGTTCTTTAGGCAGTCCGTGGTCATTTTCATGTTCTTCACAACACCATGATCCACATGCACCAATTCTTCTACGATCTTCCTTATTCATTGTCCAACTTTCACATGCATAGGAGGCTATTGAAAATACCATGGCTTGGGTCATGCACAACTTAGTCCTTGAATTGATATTTTTGCTCTTGAACACTTTCAAGGAAGCTTTCTAGTAGATTTGCTTAATGCAATACATCCATGAATGCTGATTATGGATAAAAGCACAATGAAGTCTTCGAGAACTTCAATCTTTTCTTCATTTATCATGATGTTATTTATTGCTCCAATTGTGAGGATTTTTATTTTGTTTACATTGAGAGGCAATCCATACTGAAGGTTGTATTCTTTGATCTTCATCAGTAAGAATTTTAAGTCTCCTTCACTTTCAACAAGGTTATATCATCTGCATATCGCAGGTTGTTAATGAGTGGTCATTTTCTTCTTCATAGAATCCAACATCTAAGATTATTTGCTCAGCATACAGATTGAATGAGTATGGTGAAAGGCTATAACCCTTGTGCATAACCTTTACTGATTTTAAAACATCCAGTATCCCCTTATTTTGTCTGAATGACTGCCTCTTAGTCTATGTACAGTTTCCTCATGAGCACAATTAAGTGTTCTGGAATACTCATTCTTTGCAATGTTATCCATAGCTTGTCATGATCCACACAGTTGAAAGCTTTTGCATAGTCAGTAAAACACAAGTAAACATCTTTCTGTTATTCTCTGCTTTCAGGCGAGATTCATCTGATATCAGCGATGATATCCCAAGTTCCACATCCCTTCTTTAATTGGCTTGAATTTTAAAAGTTCTGGCAGTTCCCTGTCAACGTACTGTTGAAACTGTTTTGAATTATCTCCAGAAAATTTTACTTGCATGTGATATTAGTGATAATGGTCAAGTATTTCCACATTTCTTTGGGTCACCTCTCTTTGGAATGGGTACAAATATGAATCTCTCCCAACCAGTTGCCCAGGTTGCTATCTTCCAAATTTCTTGGTATAGATAAGTGCTGTATCAGTGTTTGCTGAAATATTTCAATTTTACTCCATCCATTCCAGGAGACTTCCTTTTCACCAATGCCTCCAGTGCAATGTGCATTTCTTCTTTCAGTACCATCAGCTTTTGAGCATACCATCTTGAAATGGTTGAATTTAGATAATTTCTTTTTGGTACAATGACTACATATTCCTTCCATCTTTATTTTGATGCTTTCTGCAT